GGCTATCTGCGCTAGCCGTCCATAATTTAGCAGTGTAAGACTAGAGGGAAGGCAGCTAATCAACACCACCCACCGCCCAACTCTTGGGCTACTCTTTTCCCAACAAATAGTGGGATTGACCGTCACATTATAACGCCCCCACTGCTGAAAGGGCGAGCATGTTTGGTGTGGCGGGGGATTCGAACCCGCAGATTGCAAGTAGAGCGCCCCCTAACCACTTGGCCACGCCGGACCCCAAATGAGTAATAAAATTGAATCGGCTATACGCGCGCCCCACGCTTAGCGCACAAAAATATAGCTAATAAAAAGGGATAAAAAGGTCTCATAAATTAATTTACTTTAATCCTGCCTAAAATAATTTCAGGTGTCACGGCTATTGAGGATTCCCTCTTATTTTCCTGAAACAAAAAGAGAAGTTTAAATAAGAATTGATATAATCTAAAGAAGTAGATGTGGGAACCCCCTAGACAATGCTGTTAAATGTTGTTAAAAAAACTATAAAAGTAAAAGTTAGGTAAATTGTGATAATAAAAAAAAGTAAGAAAAATGCGAATTTTTGGAAAAATAAACCTAGTGTTCTTTCAATCAATTATTTGTAATATTTTACTAGATACTTGGGCGTCATAGTAACAGTAAAACCCGCCAATCAAATCAAATCAAAGTTCACAATTTCAAGATAACACTACAGGTCTAGGACACTTTATATATATTTAACTACTTCAACCAAGTTTGAACATAAATCAGTATGTTCCGTCGTTCGTAGGGGTTACAAAAATGTAACACTCCAGATACAGGACCCTTTATATATTTAACTACTTCAACCAAGTTTGAACATAAATCAGTATGTTCCGTCGTTCGTAGGGGTTACAAAAATGTAACACTCCAGATCCAGGACCCTTTATATATTTAACTGCTTCAACCAAGTTTGAACATAAATCAGTATGTTCCGTCGTTCGTAGGGGTTACAAAAATGAGCTACAAATGATAACAGTCTGCATGTTATGAGTAGTTAAAAAAAGGGAATATTGGAGACATGACTGATAACAGCTATGATCGCTCATATAAGGTATAAATGAACTTAAAGGTATCAAGGTATAAATGAACTTAAAGGTATCAAGGTATAAATGAACTTAAAGGTATCAAGGTATAAATGAACTTAAAGGTATCAAGGTATAAATGAACTTAAAGGTATCAAGGTATAAATGAACTTAAAATAAATATATTTTTAACCTAAGGTTGGGAGTATAAGAACTATTAAGGCAGGATTGTTAGTTCAGTTTAATATCATTTTGTGAATAAAGGCAGTAGGAGTTGAGACGTTGTGGGTGTAAGTACTCAACTCCTGACCCTTAAATGATTTTCAATAGCTGTTGGCTAATTTAACATTAACATCTGATAGATGGCGAGCAGAGCACAGCTAGCCCATTGTGTAGCTCTGTGCTTAAATTCAAACAAACAAACGACCAAAATCATTGTCTAGTTAACGATTTGCTATTGTATGTTTTGTTTGTTTGTTTTTAGCTTCAGTAACAAATAACCTTGAACTTTCTTCGTAACGGTCGATTTTATGATGAAGGACTCTCTCTTCTGAGACCATCAAAATCCCATCCAATCACACATCGCTGTTCTAAATGAGCACGAGCTTTTTATATATTAATTTGATAGAATGATGTAACTTATCACGACATGGAACATCCTATTAACATCCTCTACTCTACCTTATCTCGTACGTTTTCATTACCCACTTCTGTGTCGTGTTGTAAAAGCAACCAATCACCTCCAGTTGTTGCAGACTTTCTAAATAAGGATGCGGGAAAACAAGTAGATGTAAACAAACAAACGTGCTGTTCACGCCACAGTTTAATTATTGATAAAGATCTGTCTAACATTCTAACAACACAAAGCTTGACGTGCAAAACTGAAGAGTGAAGATATAATTAGTGTTATTCCAACAAAAGATATCTCGTAAAAAAAAAAAAAAAAAAAAGACGTAAAAGTTGTACGCAAGTGTTAGCTCGGATTTTTATTTTTTCTTTCTAAGCTCCTCTCCCCTCCCTAGTGGCACAGCGGTGGACTTATAACGTGGTGAGCACAGCACAAATAGCCCATTGTGTATCTTGGCGTTTAACTAAAACCAAATTTTCTTTTAATATAGCAAACGTTCAACGCTATATTATACGGTTCTTGCAGCGATAGAGATAAGCTGGTTCTTGATAAGTGAAAATACAGGAATTGATCATTCTGTTACTTGGAGATAAAGATTACGTCGAGGAGCTAAATTAAAATATCCTCGCTCTTTGTATTTGTCGCTTTTTGTTCAGTATTTAGGATTTATTAGATGGTAATTAGAAAGTTACATTTACAGGATACAATTCCCTAGTAAGAGATTCAAGTTGTGATTATACCGTGCATTAGAAGCCAAACTTTTGGGTTAATGTTAAAATACTGTTTATATGTATTGTGTGGAACGAAGACGATGGATATGTTACTGAGATCTGGTTTGGTTTAGTTTGTATTTTCTGTATAGTTCAGTTATTGAGATCTGGTTT